ACATATTTTGTATAAAATAGAGAAAACCCAAAATATATATTTTTTAATTTTATTAGTTCTCTGTTACAGTGTTTGACCGTTGTAGCATTCCCTTTTCTAAAAAAAAAAAAAACGCGTAGAACAGATCCCTTAGTCTTTTGTGCCAGGAGCATCCTAATAAAACTAAAGTACGAGCATAATATGTTAACATTTTTTACGATTAATACATATGCTCGCACAAAAATTAAGTATATAAAGTGTGAATTGTAAATAAACAGCTAAGCGAATGTAAGAATGTACAATACATTTGGAACTTCTTTCTTAAAACCTATATCTATGATTTTTCAATGACATTAAGTACTTCATCTCACTAATATTTAAGTACTTTTTTTTTACTCAAGTTCCCGCAGAAATTAATTTACCACGTTCCATGCGAGCAGCAAGCGTTCTGTTATACATCAACAATCCCCATTACTCATACTCGCATTCAGCGTAATTTTTAACAGCTATTCAAAAAAATCAATTGAGCATAGGATTGGCGCGTTTAAAATTTTGGTTGTCGTCACATTTCGACTTTTTGTATAGCTATATTAGTATTTTGTATTTCTTTTTCGATTCCCACTATAACATTCATTCGATATAGTCCCATTCGCTTTGAAATTTCACTTTGTAGTTTAGTTAGCCTTATTTATTTGCAGTTCACTCACCTTTGTGTACATATTTCTACTTTAACGATGATTTGCTTATTATATAAAAATACACCTAGCTTATAAATTGTTTTAAGTTAGCTCTAAAGTTTTCCAAATGGAATTGTTCTTGTAAATATTTAATTAACGTTTTTTTTTAATTAACAATTATTAATACGATGAAATCGGCTTACGGGACACAATTTTAAAATTAAAACACATATTAATCATAAAAATATGTTTCTTAACACTACCCGACATGTTCATGCATTGCTTTGTACGCGTTTACGTCAAAGGAATCAAACGTCTTATCTTTGCTTATTCATAAACAGCACAAGCAAAATCTAGAGAATATTATACCTATATTTAAAAAAGTATGTGTCCCTTTGCTGGCACTGCCATGTAAATCATAAAGTTTCATATTTCACAATATTTGTGTGTACATTAACTTGTTGTGTATGTATGTATGTATATGCCATATTCCACAGCCTGCCGACGATGTCGGCTATAGTGACAGAAAAGCCTTATCATAACTTAACAACATTTATAGCAATATTCTTATATTCGACAACAACAACAGCAACAACATCCCACAGAGCCACTTGTACGCTCCAAAAGTATCTACAAATAAATGCCTGTCAGTGTGCTTGCCCATTTATTGCTTACATTGCCTGGAATTTTGGGGCGTTCTATCATAAACTATACATACACACACACACAAATCCATACATGCTTATGTGTACTCGTATATGCGAAAGCAACAGGAAAGCTAAATAAACGGAAAGTAAAACGCATGCGTATCTGTGAATTATTTGCTTTCTTTCTTTTAAATGTCGTAGCGTGAAGTAAACCAGGCTGACTGTTGCTCGTCATAAGGCATAATAAGGAATATTTATGTACATACAAGTAGAGAGTAAGAGTGTGGTTAAAGACTGAACGCAATACACTTCGAGAATTATGATAAGATAATATTTAACAAGTGTGTACGCTGTGTTGACTTTGGCGATCATTCCTGATGTCTTGCGTTCGCTTTACAGCACTCGAAAATATATACATATATGCATGTATGTGTTTGTGTATGTAAGGCATGGTGATCGGGCGCTACCCATTTCAACATCGATTCCCCAAATATCCATGCTCTTTCAAACTGTTCATATAATTTATATACATACTTGTATGTATGTGTATGTATTGTACATACATATGTAGGTATGCGTAGTTAGCACGACGCCCTTATTTCACTTTGGTTTATAAAACTCAGCTTGTGTGCGCATGTGTATAAGTAACTTTGTGCACGATCACCCCCAAAGTTGCCCTGCGGCATATCCTCTGCGCTGAAATCACGTCGACAGTGGGGTCTCACGTATCGCCAGCATGAGCTCAGCAAAGCGTCTCCACTGTCTGCCGCCAAGTGCTTGAAAACACTTGCCTGTGCAGCTACAAACAGACATATGTAGGAATAATTGCGTTAAACATTCGCTGCATTTTCAGCTTTCAGCTTATTTACTTCTGCTTTCGCCACGTCTGTCACCACACACACACACACTGAAGCTTCACTGCACAATCCTAGAGTTTGTGAGTGTTTTTAGACAATTTTCAATTTTTACTGCCACAATAGTCACTTGTTGTTCGGATTTTCCTTTGTCTATTCATAACTTTTACCCCAACTGTTTGTTTAACATTCTATTTGAGTGTGCTTTTCACTTCTGCCTTGCTTCGTGCAGATGAGCGCTAGGCGAATTGCCAGCCTACAATGTTTATTAGCTGGAAAATAGGCTAGTAACCACACGATCACTGGTTACAGATTTGTTCGCCTTGCTTTTTATCGACTCTTCGCTACACCAACAACCTTGTTTGTATTAACTTCGTTGGGCTTCACTGTCGGCATTTGCCTATATATGCATGTGTTGTTTATTTGTTCCTTTATTTGTTATAATTTTCTATTGCCATTTGTCTATTTACTATTTGCAGCTTTATTCCGAAAGCAAAGCTCCACACCCTCGCATCGTTTGTGTGTGTATGTAGTGGGTATTTGCTACGGATCGCTGGATAAATCCAATCAGGGTTTATTTATACATGCCTTTGTAGTATATGTGGTTATGAATGAATAATTGTATGTATGTATGTATGTATATGTGTATAAAATTCAGTTTCGGTTCGGGAGTTGGGCGAATTCACATTAAGGTTTACGATTTATATGCGTTTAAATTAATATTCTCAGTCAGTTTACATATTTACGAACATCATTTAGTGTATGTACATATGTATTTATCTTTAAGTTATAGTTTTATCATCGAATTGTTAGATAGATAACTCTTACATATTTGTACGTACATATGTATCTAGTAACCAAAGTTTAATATAATGGCGTTTAAGCTTTCAAAAACTGCTTAACCGATAAATGTAATTTTTAAGCACTTCGAAGAAAATTTTTTGTTGAAAATAGTTAATAAATATATTGAGCTTTCACTGTCATATGTCAACGATGAGCTGATCGATTTTTAGAATTAAAATTGCTTTGTAACGCTGTTGCCTTTGTAACGCTATAATAACCGAAAATCATTTAAATAATTTAGCCGCAGTCAAGATTCACTCTATAGATACAAATTTAAAACCAATATCTTCTCAAACTTACAACAACAAATATCGATTACTATTGAATCGATTTAAGAAAACGCAAGACTGATTTCCGCTTTGAGTCATTGCCTTGGCATATTTCACCTACATGCTATAAGAAATTCCCACCATTAGCTCAAATCCAACAACAGTTATGTAGAAACAATTTAACTACGTCTATGTAAAGCTCTATCTGCGCTGTATCAGTTGTTTTTGTTGCTCCACGCTACTGCTCCCTAATTTGATATATTCTAAAATGTCAAACGGACTTCTAATACGAGTACTCGCACAACATTAAATTAATAGCTCTAAAACCAGTTCTACGAAGCTTTCGATACACTCGCCTTTAAGCTTAGCCGCCACCTCTCCCACCACTCACTTTTCGTGTGGCAGCAGCCTGCCGTTGAATTTCGCTTTACTTGTGTGTTCTGTTGATTGCCGATCACCGTTCAATGTTCCAAGACAACAGCTATAACTACACCAACAACGCTGACGTGACACACTTGTTCGCAGGCTTATGCCGCCGCCGTGTACTATAAATACAGACCTTTTATACGAAAACAAAATAATAATTATACTTAAATAAAAATAATAATCACTTCATATGGTGAAACACTTGTTCGTGCTTCTAGGAATCACGTATTTACAACAAATCGCTCGTTGGAGAAACTTACTTATGGAAGTAATAGTAATGTTCTCAGTTATTTTTAATTTCTGATTACATGATTCCTTGACGTTTTTTCCTGAAACTAATTTATTTGTGTAATCTATGGAATTATGGGTGGCGTTGGTTTAAGGAACGTGATGGTTGGGGTTAGAATTTTCATGAAACTGCAAGGGATCCCCACAGTTTTATAAGGTAGTTATTAAACCAGCTCGAGTTTGTTTTATGCCAAAAATTTATTGAATTCGAATATTATTAACGGTATCGTATACTATAGGTGATAATTTCAGTTACCTATAAAAAAAAATATTATTAGTGGCAACTAAGTATATAATGTCATCCTTTAACAAAACATCTCCAAACTGAATCATTGTAATGACTCATAACCAAACGAAGCTATCAAAGGCTTGGTAATTGACTAAGAAACTTTATGATGGCATAAACCGTTCAGTTTTCGAATCAATTATTCATATACGATATACATATGTAGCTACACTTTATTAATAGATTTTGTAAGCTGTGGGGAATTTGTTAGAATCATTGTACAGATACGTAAGAAAAAGCAGACAACCACAAAAATTAACCATAATTGAATAACAGTTATATGAAATTTCCGATTATTTTTCTAATTTAGCTTAAATTTCATGGTATGGATATTGATGACAGTTGCCGTGGGATTGTAATTAGAAATGTAGTAGATATCTACGTATGCGTTTATTTGTTAATTAGAAAAATGTTTAACCATTTCGATGATCGCTAAGTAATCATAAGTTTTACAATACGTATATATTTATGTATGCATGTACATAAATATAATTGTGGAATACCGTAGGCGGTAGTGTTGTTGCAAAATAAGTATTCGCTTAGATGTTACCATATAATATATACAAATATGTATATGTATGTATTTATATATCTATGTATCTATGGCAATAAATGGCATGCGATATCAATGCACAGCCCACCTGTTGCTATTTGTTTACTTATGTTGAATATATAGTTTATGTATATTTTCCCTACATATCTTTCATGCTCTCCTCTAGCAATCCTTGGTATTATCAGTTGCATATTTTCATTTATTTTTTTGCCCCGCTGTTATAGTTCATGTGCATTTAACAACAAATACATTATTCATTTGCTATTTGTGTTGTATTGTAAATCTGTACACAGACACATATATGCAATTGTTACTAACAAATATTTGCAACAATAATGATTTTTCGCGAATGCATTCGTATGCTCATTAAATAGTTGATTACTGGCAACTTATTCACTGATCGTGTGCTTGCGGTGCGCTCATTTGTATTGTACTCCCTCTCATGCTTACTCAATTTCTCCAAAAATTGTTAGCGCTTATCGCTTTACTTGCCAACTGAGTCAGAGTAAATATACATATATGCTTCATTCATGTGTGTGTGCTTTATGACTTTCACCTCTGCATTATCAGTTCATTACTCTCAATCATGTGTTGCTTGTTTATGCTCTGCTCTCTGCTTTCATTTGTTCTATAGAGAGCGTTGTCTGCTAATTTTTTATTTGCTTTCCACGATTTGCATGCCTTGATATTCTCCATTATATGTTTGTATATATGTACATACCTATATGATGATTCCTTTCATTACACTTTGTTATTGTCTAACCTGTTATCAGTTCTCTGACACAATACGCGGCATATATATGTATGTATGTATCTGTATATGTGCATTTTATCCACCCTCCTCCACTCCATTGAGTCACTTACCACTCGTAACTCAGTCTTCCTTGTTTGCTTTTATATGTATTTATATTGAATTTGTATTTTGGTTGACTTTCGCACATGCGTCCTATGTTACTCATCGGCGGATGGACGTCAATTTGATCTCAGTGGTTTTTCATAATGATATTAATTTTACTTAGTTCTGTTGTTATCGTGTGTATTTGATAGTCTGTGCCGTTTTACTTCGCCATATTCAATATGCTGCCAGTGTTTACTTTGGGTTGTCTCGCATGTGATTTCGTGATACCTTATCCTTTCGTATAGTTCGAGAGTAGTACCAATCAGTAATTGTCTGCTTGCTGAGATAAGAAAGGGATTATATAGTTATTCCTGATTTTGTTTATAATTTATACTTTATTATTATAATTTTTTTTTTTTGTGTTTCACAGTCAAATAAAATGAATACAATATTCTAAGTTGTTTGGTTTTGCTGTTGAAAACATTTAATATAAATTAAAAAAGTACTTTGCTTCCTTTTTGAATGCATATTACAAAACCACCTCTTCAAACATGTAAAACTGATTTTACAGTTTCCTTTTCTTCACATTGCAGGAGTTTTTGAAAAACTTGTTCAACGTTTGAAAGGAAAAAAGGAATGCGCATTATTTTTCATTTACCGAGAAATTTACAAGGAACAACAACGCGACGTACAGACGCTGTGTAATATCTTTTCTGGAAATTGCTGAGACACAACTGTATAATTTTGAAAACTAAAAGGATCCAATTAATAAACATTTGCGTTTACATAATTTACGCGGTGGCTAATTATAATTTGTGCTAGCTAGCTTAGTCTGGCATAATTAATTTAATTTAACAACAAATTTATACTCCTTAAAGGGTTGTGAGCGTATCACAGCCAAAGAAAGAAGCCTACAAATGAAGATGGCATCCCAAAGATTTTGCCTACGATGGAATAACCATCAAAGCAACTTATTATCTGTGTTCGATCAGTTGCTACACGCCGAGACATTTACAGATGTCACGCTGGCCGTCGATGGACAATACTTAAAAGCACACAAGGTAAGTGTCATACACGCGTACAGCTAACCGGATTGTTCTACACACTTACATACATAAATATGTATATACAAATTATTACATTTATCGTCGCATTTTGTCTTTTCTTCTCCACCAACAGATGGTTCTATCTGCCTGTAGTCCGTATTTTAATGCGCTCTTCGTACATCATCCAGAAAAGCATCCAATTGTCATTTTAAAGGATGTACCATACTCCGATATGAAATCTCTACTTGATTTTATGTATCGCGGTGAAGTTTCTGTGGATCAGGAACGTCTTACCGCTTTCTTGCGTGTCGCCGAATCGTTACGTATTAAGGGTTTGACCGAAGTGAATGATGATAAACCATCACCGGTTGCGCCGACGCCACCACCACCACAACTACAACGTATACAACCATATTTGGTACAACAACAACAACAACATCAACGTAGTAAATCACAGAATAGTCTATTGGCTGGTTCAAACACCGGTGCTGTTGGCATGACTGGTGCCCAAACAATGGCTGGCGGCCAACATACGCAGCAGCAACAGCAGTCGCTGTTGAGCTCAGCACTTGCATCGATGCCGAAAAGAAAACGTGGTAGGCCGCGGAAATTGTCGGGCAGCTCCAATGGTACCGGAAATGATTATGATGAATTTGAACGTGACGGCATGATGAATGTAAGTAACTGCAGCATAGAAGTCACTATTGTTGTTGTTGTGAAACATTAAAATTCAATATTTTTTATGCTCTACAGGACTCTGAGATGGGCGATTGCAAAATGGGCGATTCTTATTCGGGCAATGATGATGCTTCAGATGACAACCAACGTGACGGCGGCGATATGCGTGATCCAAGCGTAAGTACACTATCTTATTTTAATTTTTAATCGAACATAATTTTCTACAAACTTAAATTAGCTGTCTAATCAAAATTTTTGACTTTTCGATTACTAAACGGACGTTAAATCCTTTTTACTAACAAAGTAGTCAAAAACTTGTTATAAAAAGTATTTAATAAATATGTTTAGCAGTATTATAAAGTTTATTATTAACTATTTTCTCTTTCATCTTATAGGAGAGCCGAGACTCCATTTCCCACAGCAAGAAATTCAAATCAAAAGACAGCAAATCTAAGCAAAATGAAAATGATAACAGTACTTCTGGTAAGTTCCGCATTACCAATTACCATATAATATGTAAATATATAAGCATTCGCATTTAGAAAATTATAATTAAATGCGAATTCGGTAGCATAAATGTATCTGTGTATATACTAAGATCAGCAAAATTAACTTTCAAAACATTTCTAAAAACGCTACATAAAACATATTTATTATTTAGTTTCTAATATTTTGGTACTAACCAACAACTATAAAACAATACGTATATACATATTTACATTTTTGTTATCGGATTTCGTTTTAATAAGTTTTTAGTTTAGCCGCGAAAAGTAACGAGTTTATTACAACAGCTGTGTTAAGTAATTTTTGATATTTGTTATGTATATGATAAAATATTAAGATCAAGCGCTATGATTCTTTTCAAAAAATAAAATGATAATTTTCTCATAATTCAAAACAAGTATATTTATTAATAAGTATTATTTTTGCTCGTTGCAATCATTGTTTTTTTTTTTATCATAAACCATGACGTTAATGTTTAATATAATTTCACCAATTGATAATAAGCTATAATTTTCTATTAGACAGTTATTAGCAACTACTAATCATATATGTTAAAGAAACTGCATTTATTTAAAACGAAATCGGAAACATTCATTAAAAATATATATCGTGAAAACCTAATTTAAAATACAATTAAGTGAAAAAGGCTAACGAAAGAAGGGGTTTGAAAATCGCATCGGAAAAGCTAAAAGGGATTTACGAAAGTATTTCGAAATACATATATATTTATGCCCTTGTGTTGGGTGTGAAATCGTAGGTCATATGTGCGAATTGAACATAAAGCATAAATTTGAGTGAAATTAAAAAAAAAGTGTATATAGTTCATAAAATTCGTAACTGCGCGGTACTATTTGTCCGTTGATCTTTTCGCGTAGTGTAAACAATATAAGAAAACAGTTCAAAGGCCGCGACTCATTTCGTCGGCAGGTGAGTTTCAAAGTTTTATGAAAAGCTAAGAGAACGTATTGAAAGTATGATGCAAGAAATGCAAATAAAGCGAAAAGGAAAGTTTAAATTATAGCTTGAGTTAATTGTAACTGGCAGAGCTTAGGGATTCATGGCCGACGTAATGAATATTATAATAAAGTGCGTATAAAAATTGATTCAAACATTTCATAATACTGATTTTTACCTATACTACATTTTTATGCATTATAAAAAGAAAAAGAAAAACACACTATGACATTAAAAAAATTTAAAGCGTTTTAATATAATATTTTTTGCTATTACTAAATGGTTCTGTTACAAAACACGTTTATTTAACGTTTTATGTTGCCGCTGCACTCATTGATTTACGATTTTGTTTTATTTTTCGTGAATACCGTTATTTTACAATAAGTAGAACAGTCATGTTTCGCTGCATTTTTACAAGCGTCAAATGCATCGATTTGTGTAAATGCGAAAATGCAATTCCGACACTCGGTAAAAAAGAAATACAAAAACAAAACAACTGAGAATGGCTTGAAATCCCTATAGCTTTTCCGAAACGTTTTTATTCTTCTTCATTGGAACGCGTGCGTGTGACAAAAAGAAATTTTAAATTGCTAAGACTATATTTACAGCAAAACGAATTTCCTTTCCGTTTTTGTTTGCTTTTACGTTGCATTATACATTCATACCGTTAGGCGAAGAAAGCACACACATACAAATATACCACATACGCATTCATACATATGCACAAAATCATAACACATTTAAAAAGAAAAATAAATATAAAAGAATAAAGAAGTACAATTTAACACTTTTATAAACCATAAATTAAAAAAAATAGACAAGAGACCCTTGAAATGGAAAATAAGTATTCGTCTCCGCTAATTACCCATGCAAATATTGTTATCAAAGGTTGCTGAGCGTCGTGACACCATTTCAAATACTAAATTTTTCCTTTTAAGCGTCACTTTTCTAATTGCTCTTTAATTGAGCGACGAAAGAGAGTGTCGCTTGGTTGAATGGCTGTGTGCGTCTTCGTCTACCTTAAGCTTACAGAGTTTTCATACAAGAACACACCTAAATAATTTCCCAAATTTTAGATGGCAACGATAGCGACTGCGATGATCAAATGGACACCTCTTACATGGAACCCCAATTAATGCTTGATGAATACGATGAACCGGTCGAATTTAAGTTTGATCCTAATGCCACCAGCTCACCGTCGCAACAGAACACCGCTATGGCTTTGGCCGCGCAGGCGCAACAACAGCAGGTGGAACGTCAATTGCTGCTCGCCCAACAAAAGAAACAACAGCTGGTGGAGGCCGCTGCCATGAAATTTTCGGCAGAAGCATCGGCCAGCGGCATGCCAGGCACCGTAACACTGCTTAACTCAATGGTTAGCATACCGAAACTAACACCCATCGGCAAAGTGTCGAAATTGAAAGTGAATAAGCGCACCAAATTGAAGCAGAATGGCCTTAGCGGTGGCAATATAGCTGGCGTTGATAGCAAAGTAAGTTTAACTTAGTCGAAAGTACATTGCAGGTATGAGTTTAATGACTTTACATTGTTAACAATTTTTTTTTTGTTTTAGAATTACCCCAGCGATTATGTGGATATGTTCAATGTCAATTACATTGCCGCCAATGCGAATGCACCTCAAACACCCAGCCAATCGAATAAATTGAAGGGCGCTTTGAGCGGCAACTCCACATCCGCCAACGTTTCCCCACCTTCGGCTAAAACCAAACTGAATACATCGGGCGGCGCGCTGCCAGCAGGCGAAACCGAAGGCTCCGTCCGCGATTATTGCACCAAAGAGGGTGAACATACGTATCGTTGTAAGGTATGTTCTCGCGTCTACACACACATTAGCAACTTTTGTCGCCACTATGTGACATCACATAAACGCAACGTGAAAGTGTATCCCTGCCCCTTCTGCTACAAGGAATTCACACGCAAGGATAATATGACGGCCCACGTAAAGATCATACATAAAATCGAGAATCCCTCAACAGCTTTGGCCAATGCATCCGCAGTAGTGGCAGCAGCGGCCGCCGCGGGCATAACACCTTCATCAGCACCACAATCGGCAGCTGCGTCGACAGCGTCAACGCCCACGCCACCCGATTTGACAACGCAATGTTCAAATCAATCGGCAACAGGCGTGTCCACAGCGATCGCATCGGCAGCATCGTCCACCTCATCTTCGTCGACATCGTCGACAACATCGTTAGCATTAGGCGCAGGACGTTTGCCTGAAGCAGCGACTGCGCAATAAAGACGCCTAAAGCTTGTTAGAGACTATTAAATATAACATAACAAATAATAAAAACAAAAGGACTAGCAATAACAAAGGGTGTTGGGGTACTCTTACATACAAATAAATTTGTATAAATGCATTTGTTTGATGCAAACAATACGCGTTGCTAGAGAAATTAAAGCAATGATTGTGTCTAGGCTAAAAACAAACTCCGGCATGTTTACACAAAGGGCGGACATTTACAAAAAGCAAAGATGGAATTTTAAATGCTAAGACACACATTGTACATAAATGCAATGCAAAATATTTTGAGGTATGTCAAGGACAAATTGGGCAAATAAATAGGCTTCCAAAATGCGCGAAATATTTGCTGAGGATAAAGTAAATGAAAAGATTTTGCGTATTATTATTTTCGTTGATTTCCAAACTGCTTAAAATGCAGTTGAAAACGTTCTAAACGTAACAAAATGTAATATTTCGTTGTTTGTAATTATATTTCTTTAACTGTAATTTTAACTACATTATTATAATTTTTTATTTTAATAATTTAGTTACAATTATTTGTTTTTATTCCTAACTATTTTTTTCTTTTTGAAATATTCTTGAGCTTAGCCCTAAAATTATAAACATACACACATACATGAATTAAAAAGCAAACAAAAAACACTTTTGTGTCAATAGAATGTTGGGAATAGTGTTTCTGCTAACCATAGTTGAATGTAATGGGGAAATGAACAATTAATGGCGAAAGTTTTAAGTTTAACTTTCTTATGCACAATTATAGAAGTTTTCGAGCCACCGTGAAATAATACATGGATGGGTAGCTTCTTCATGATAGCAAAACGTAGAAATTGAAAGATTTTAATCTGAGTAATTTTAAATAAATGCTTTATGTTTTGGTTTATAATCATTTTCAGCAAAATTGAAGCTAAACTTTTTAGAAAACTTATTCATCAAACATTTGACTGTTATGTGCAGCAGACTTTTTAATGGCCAAATAGAATTTTGGGTTTAAGCAATTCACTCTTTGTATGATTCTTTGCTAAACATAAGTTGTGCAATTTATTATTATATTTTTCTTTATTATTTATTTAATTGGTTTTGTGTAATTTAAGTTTATTAGAAATAAAATGTTTCACAATAATCAAATTGTCTAATGGCATTCAAATACAAGTGGCCTTCTTTTAGTTTAGTAATACACATATATATATATATATATATATATATGTATATGCAAATCGGACCGCATGTTGGCGACCACAAGAAATCTAGCACACACAATGTACGATTTCTCATTTTCACACGACGCTAACCAACTAATAGCACCGACAGATACATATACATAAGCCTAATAAATAAATTCACTTTTTACACACTTAGTTAATTTTACGTGTTTTTAACGCTAAAATATTTACAATGAAAATTAAATGTAAAAATAAATTAATATTAAATATTATATGAATAAAACAGCAAAAAAAACTACCTTGTTGCCTTCAAATGAAGCTAGTTTAATATTATATTTTATAAATTTACCTTATGCGGTAAAAAAACTAATTTAAAATAAAATCCATTACAATGTAACAATAATGCGAATTATTTAAGAAGATTTACGCAATTTTTTGTTAATAAAATAATTATTTATGTTTAGTACATTAATTTACTATAAATATTTGTATTTTTATTCACACTATAATATATCAAAATATATACAATATTTTATTTATAAACAAACAGCAATAAAACGTTATAATTAAACGAAATAATTAGAGAGCAAATATTTAAAGTATAAATGTATATAATATTATTATATATCTATAATATGTATACATTTAAATCGGAGGCTTAAATTATCGCCAAAGAACTACAAATACAATAATTATTAATTTAAACATATAAACTAAAGAGTACATTTTTATGCATATACACACACACAAAGCGAATAAAAACCAACAGCTGAACGTTCACAATGTGAATATCTTTATTTCTTTGCTGTTATAAAGAAAAAGAAAATAGTAGTCGGCTCTCGAACAAAAAGTGCACTTATATTGCTAAAGAAAATATACTACTTAAATGTTTACAAAAAAGAAAACTTATATCAAATGATAATTGCAATAAAAATGTGAACTTACAAAGTAAACTAAAAAACACAATTGAGGCCTTTTCCTAAAATGTTTTACATTTTGTATGCGCGTGTAAGCAGAAAGCAACTCTGAAGTACGAAAAAATGTTTAATAATCACATAACGTAGTAGCGAACGATCTCCAGAAAAACAGTAGTAAAATCTATTTATAAACATGCTAAAACCTGTCAACCTTTTCAATCTTATTTTGTAAAAAATGCTTTAAAATAGTTACATTTCTCTTATGACATACAAATCAACATAAGGCAATTATAAAATAACAAAATTTTAAAAGTAACTCTTTAACATTCTAAATACAAAATATTCAAACATTTACAAAATATTTAGTTCTTATTTATCTTATATTTAATATTTACTATATTTCTTTTTCGTATTTAGTGGTAGCTAGTGCAATTTAGTATTTAACAAGTTAATTAACAATATTAAAAAAAAAAATAAAACTAAACAATGAGAATAAACCTCACAACGTCAGCTCCTTCAACGTTTAAAACCTATTTTTATTGCTAGATTGTAGCATATGCATACATACATTTACAATGAAATGAAATATCAAATACATACATATATATGTATATTAATATGATAAATAATAAAGAATTTTTGTTGCACTAAAAAAGAAAAACACAAACAAACAATTGAGTTTTAAAATTTATAGTAGATATGGTTGTCTTTTGAGATTAGGTTTGCAGCGCTAATTCAAATATGGAGCAATTTTAAAGTAGTTGTCTTGGTCTGTGAATACATTTGAACAAAATTTAAGTAATTTTAATTTTTCTTTTATTTATAAAAATTAAAAGAGAAAATATACATTTTTATAACTAATAGAAACAATAAGTTACCTAAATGTTGTTCAAATCATTTCCATAACAAAAACATTACTTTAAAAATATCATATACATAAAAAATCATAAATTTATGGTACAATTCGCACTTGAAGTGTTCCCTGCTAAAAGAAAAATAAAATACGAAATAATTATTAAAATGTTTATACTTTTAAGGGCTAGTTTTTCAAAACTGTATGTGATATAATTTTATAAAACAAGTATTATTCATTAAATTCGAAAATATTCACTTAAACTTTTAAATATGTATAAGTATTTTTATTAACATTTCGTCTATTTATTTTTGTCTCTTCTTATAGTGGAACTAATAAATGCATCGCCCGAATTATCACAAAGGCTCTTTGGCTTAATGAAACCAGCAGTTACTGTACAACCGCAGCAGCAACAACAACAACAATCTCAAAAAGATATAAATGAATCTGCCCTCAAACAAACACCAGTGCTACAATTTAATGAACCACAAGAGGTAGCAACACATCTGCCCACTGCCTTGGGACTGAAAGTACGTAATGCACTGCAATTGACTACTTCACCGCAACAACAACAACAGAGTAGCGCTCAGAACTCCAATTCACTGTTGAAGCAGCAATTGCGCGCTGGTTTAAAGGAAATATCGAATAATACATCCAACGAAGCAATGACCACTAGTAGCGCCGATTTTAGCTGTTCAGCTCTCCAATCACTGGCAAGTGTCGCTGAACGTCAAACACCGAATGCAATACAGCCACCATCTGCCAATAATTTGCACCACCAATTTTTGTTACACATGGCCGCAAATCCGATGCTAAAACCGACTGCTGATTTCTTTCGACAGCCGCAACAGCAAGAACAAACAACCATACAAGAGCAACAGCAATTACAGGTTAAACAATCGCAAACACAAACCCAATTGCTTCAGCATACAGCAGCGCCACTGGCGACACAATTACTCGAGCAGGAATTGCAACGTGAAGACAGCATGTCGCCCACAAATATGGATCTCATACTCGATCAAACTGATAAATCGGAGCCGGAATTGACGTTAGCAGATGAAACGGCCGGTCTAGAATACAAAAACAATGACACATCCCTTGGAAACAACGATGATGCTGTTGCTATAACAACAATTACAATAGGCGATGGACCTGACAATGAGACCGTGAGCGCACAAACTACCACAGCAGCGCTAACAACAACAAATACACGTACAGGCGCCTCCACACGTCGCCCAGTGCAGCGACGACGAATACGACGCAAAGCGCAATCCACAATCGACGATCAAGCCGAGCACTTGACGGAAATGTCGGTGCGTGGACTCGATCTGTTCCGTTATGCACGCATCAATGAGGGCGTCTACCAGTGCACCGAGTGTGCTAAAGAGGATTTGCAAAAGACTTTCAAAAATAAATACAGTTTTCAGCGGCATGCCTTCCTATATCACGAAGGAAAAGTGCGCAAGGTGTTTCCTTGCACATTGTGCGGCAAGGAATTTTCACGTCCGGATAAAATGAAAAATCACCTAAAGATGGCACATGAGAATTTCGTTGCACGCGACACCAGTAGCTTTAATCCACTAAACTATTTAATAACGGCGGCAACGGCCGAAGAAATGCAAACAGCTATCTTTACGGCAAGCGCTGCAGCGCAGCAACAACAGCAGCAGCAACAACAACAACAACAACAACAAAGAACAATCCTGCAAGACGATTATTTGGGCAATGGTGTTAGTATTGTCAATACTACGCCGCGGGATCGTGGCAATTCGCGATCGACATCGCCAAACGCAGCAGCGACATTGCTGAAATCGCAGAATGAGTTGACCATCAAGAACGAGATTGTGATTTCACCTTCACCCTCACCCGAACCAATTATGTCCGTGCCAACGAATGGCACAGCGGCAGCGGCACTTGCCGTTGTAACAAAATCGACAAATCTATCCGTTTTGCAGGCGAAACGCATAACGCAAAGACTGGAAGAGGTTAATTAAGTTTAAATGATAATTTGCCACTAAACAATTATTAATTATAAGGTGTAGTGTGGTGTGTTTAAAAACACATGGATGTTTATTAAGTTTTAAACTTTAATTTTTTTTGGTAGGCCGCAAAGTGCAACAAATAGTATACTTATACAATAATAACTTTAATGGTTGTGTTGATATGAACGCGCAACTGAAAAGTCTGACTTATCTATAAAATAATGCACAAAAATCTACTCATTTACTTAAATACTTATATATATAAATATTTTAATTAAGTTAATTATTTTACATATTTGCTAATTTAAAAGCGAAATATACTAGTGATAATTGCTAGAGTTGAAGAAAATGTTAAAAAAAAATCACAAACAATTAACTTGGCACAAATATGAGATTACAAGTTTACATACATACATACATATTAATTTAATTATTTTGAATAGTATTTCTAAACGAAAATTATGAAGCGCACAAACAAGGCCTTAAAAACAACATTATACATATGTTTACTTAATGATCAATATATACATACTTATAAATATTTAAAGAAATATATTTATGGTATATGAAAACTTAAAGCAATATTTAGCCATAAGTTTAAATATTTTATAAGCATTTAATTTGTAAATAATCTAAGAGCCGTCCATTTTGTTCCCTCAAATTAAGCGCATACATGCATATGTATGTGTGTGCGCGCATATGTATTGTTGCAATTATTAGCTTAAAATTTAATTTATACTTACACATTTATTTATTTAATTTAATTCAGTTCATATAATTTATTTTATGAAAAGTTCTCTTTTGTAATGTGTTGCAATATTTTCAACACTGAAATAGTCGATTGCCGTTGGCAGACTGCTAAATTAGTGGATTTAAATCGTTTGACAATGACTGCTCCTTATTTTCTTATGCCTAGTCTTAGAAGCCGTAAAATACGATTCTTAGTCTTAAGCTAGGTTAATATTTTTCAACAGAAATATTAGCTGATATTATATCTGCATATGTTTACAAGTATACATAAATATTTGGGATTGTTGATTTCTGAAAAAAAAAACTTTCTAATGAAGGATTAAACATCACTGCACACTTACGAAAACGCGCTTGTATACATAAAAATAGACCCAAATTATATGTATTTGTCGAGAAATTTGAGTCTGAGAAGTGTCAGTATATTTTTTTATTCTATATTTATTTTTTATGCTTAAAAATTTTCTGTTAAATATTTATTTTTTTATTACACTCGTGCTATTTTATATTCTCATTATATAATTATTTATTGGCACAGCCATACGAATATGTTTGTGCTTCATTACCAAGAAATACAAAAATTCTTGGATTATGATGAATTAGCCGTTTTAATTTTGTTTGAATATATTTTCCGTGTATTTGATATACATATTTATATTATAAATTTGATAAAACCTTAATACATTAGGAACCTAACCGAAATATTTTTGTTTCCAGATTTTGGTTGGATATATATTGAAATCAGCGTTGCAAATTTAGGATTAAAATTTAGATTTTCCATTTTTAGTCCAAGATGTATGGAGCTAAAAATTTAAAATTCATTTATTTTTTTATCTAATTGGAAAATTAAAATTTTAACCACTGACATTAATTATATTTTTAATTACATATTTGCTTGGAATAAATATTTTTTTAAATTAAAATTTAAACTACAATTTTAAAATTAAGTTTTTTATTCAGGTTTGGTAATAATTTTTTTTTTAATCCCGTATTTGTCATTAAACATTTAAAAATTATTCTTATTAAAGATTTTTGGGATTACAAAATAAAAAAAGTTTAAATTCAAATGTGAATTCAATTCAATACACCCTGTGTATCAAAAGTAACCAAGTAATACAACTTTTTAAAAACTTTTTGATTATTAATAACATTTAGCTTTTATAATATGAAAACAAAAGGTTATTTATTGCTTTTGTGGATTATAGCAACAAATCAACGCAACTCATAAAAACAAAAAGTAAAAGAAGTTTAAATTTTTTAATATTTACTTTCTGCTATTACACCATATGCGACCATTCGTTAAGCACCGTTTCCATAACAGTCGGAACAGACCCGGCTTTTTATCCGGCCAAGGGCTGTCAACAACAACAAGAACATTCGTTTAACAAACCTAATTTTTTAAATAGAAATTGCAGATTAAAATTAGATAAATTAAATTGCTCTAAAATTGTGTGTTTTTACATATATTATTTGTTTTAAACCAAATTTTATATTATTAGCAAATTGTTCGGAAAATATTTCTTATTTGTGATCTTTTCTCAAGTTACTTGAAACTTACATAATATTATGTTATTTTAAATTTTCCTTATGTTTTTATTTTGTTTTAATATTTGTAAATATTATTCATCAAAAATGTATGTAACTCAATACTCAACAGATAATATCGCCCTTTAAAAACAATTAAATATTGCAAATATTTAACACATTAATATATTAAGTTAAAACGCAAGACTTACGCAACAAATTTCATAGATTTATTTACACAACGCTCAATTTCTAAGCACGTAAAAGATATACAAATTTCATTTTCATCGAATGTTTTATCTTTAATAACCACTGGAACTTATAACTTAAAAGTTTTTTAGTATGTATAATACAATAGATGCTCAAGACTTTTTCCAGTGATAGTTTTATTTATCAAAAAGCCAATTAAATATTCTGACACCAACTAGTTTTTCACTCACTGTAATGTATGTAAATCTATCTAAATTAGAATTATTTGATATTTTAACTAAACTTAGTCAGCCCTGAAATATTTGGGGCTAAAAAATTGCAAGACTTTTGCATTCATAATAAAAATATATGACTTTATACTTATTTCAAATATACATATTTCATTCTTCTTTATTAATGGAATGGCTAGAAAAGGATGTCGGTAAAAAAAAAATAATAATTATCGGTGGATTTTTTTCTTAATATAGAAAAAGACAATTACTTCTAAATCGTCCTCAACAACGTTCA